AATTTGACCCTAAACCTTACCACCGCTTGAACAAAGAAAAGAAACCTAAGAAGATTGCAATCCATGTGCAAGCACTGCGTGAGACCATTGCGTCAGCCAGCGCAGTTCATGGTGCAAGACAACCATTCTCTGGGGCCCCCCAAAAACAACAAATCCCCAAGTTCTAACTTGCCTGTCCAGTTTCCTACAGTATCTCGGGCTAACCTTCAGAGCTGAATCTTGCGCTTGTGCTGTGCCAGACTAGTGCTCACGGGCGCCAGCAAGCAAGCAACATCCCCGGAGCCCCACAACTCGGACCCCACTACCAAGGGCCTGATTCCTGTAATCCTTTGAAGAGGAAATTAAGAGGACCGAGACAATGAAGAACACGGGGTTTATAGAATTTAGAACCCTGTCTCTTCTTCAATATCCATCCTCAGGTCTTTGAAGCCTTGGCCCCAAGACCCGTGGTAAAAGAAGAAACAGTGGTCCTCTTAATCTTCCCCTAGATCCTTGAAATCTACTGTCTCAGGATCGCTAGGTCCAGGGATCTGCTCATCATCGCGCTCGGGACGCTTCCGAGCTTGACGGCATCTGCGGCTTGAATTGGGTTTACGATTTAGGTATTGGGGTGGGTACCTTGGCATTTCCTGAAGCTCCCAGCTGGGGCATGCTGGAGCCAGGGCTTTCGGGTTCAGGATTGAGTCTCAGCGTTTGAGCTTGGAGGGTTGAGAGTCTGCAGAACCCCAAACCCTTAACTCAGGACCGAAGCTTCGAAGGAGTTTGGACCTGGGGGCACCAAGGCTGCAGGATATAGGGTTTGAGATTCAGGGTGCGAGTCCAGGGAAAATCGCCCAGCTTGAGGGACTGGCATTGCGCTGCTTAGGCCGATGCCTTGGATCAAAGTCCATTCGAAACCCCAGACCCCGAAGCCCGAACCCAATACGACGAAAAAGCATGTCTGCGAATGTGTGTGTGTGTGTATACTATATAAATGCACACATACAGATGTGTATGCACATACATAAATGTACATATGTTATATACGTTAACCCCCATAAGTGGGCCCCATAAGCGAATTCATTATCTATCCATTCTTGATTTTCGTTTAGAAAAGAGAGCCCTCCGAACTCTGAACTCCAGGAATCAACCTCTCAACGCAAGAGTAAATTGATAAGGGAGCCTAGCGTAAGTCCTTAGTCGGGTGATGCTTCTTGTAAGGACTCGAAACATGTACCCCTGACTCACAGACACCCCTTTCACCACAAACTGGAGGAAGTATCCGTGCGAAAAAGTCCTCCCAACTTCTAGCTCCCTGCAACAACCCCTTCTACCCTTGTTGGACACTGCGAGATGATTTGTGGGATCCGGCTCAAGCTCCAAGGGGGGTTGGGCGAAAGAAGTACATACTCCAAACCATTCCAGCTCCTAAACGAATAGCAACTGCATCTACTCTTCGCGCATCTAAATCTCTTCGGGTCAATCACAATCTGCTTACATCAGCTTCAAGACTACCTTCCGAACCCACAAGCTGAGGAGTTGCGCGGATGTCAAACTGGCCTTAAATCGTCTGCTGCCGGAAAGGCAAGCCTCCCCGCTCCTCACACCAAGGGCGTAATCTTTCGGTCTGGGTTTTCAAAGCTCAATGCGAGAGTCTTCCGGTAGGGATAGGAATTGGCTCCTGCTCTTGTGGTGGTGACTTTCAACTCTGAAATCCTGCAGCATCGTGGCATTCAAAAGTCCAGTCCCAATGCTTAGGCACTCTGGAATGTTCCTGTCAGGAGACCCGTGAATTACGACTTTGTTCCAGCCAATGCAGATTCTTGCAACTCATGTGCGGTATTCTGTTGGTGTGGTCCGGGTGCCTCTGCTGAAGTGTTTATGGAGGAGTATTGCATCTTGTGGGCGTTTGACGTTGAAGGCGAGCTCAAGACCCGGACTGCTGTGGGGAACTCCTTGCGCATTCAAGTAGACCTGCAGCACCCAACTCCTAAACCTGTATTCGTTTCGAAGGCCCCTCGAATCCTCATGTTCCTCGTCGACATTTTTCGAAACCACAGCCCACATGCTCACTGAACCATGTGAACACGATGGAAAAACCCGGAGCCATTTTGTCTGACTTCCGAGTTCACTTGCTCGCTTAATGCTGACGACCGCCCGAGGGATAGGCCTACATAGGGTCCTCCAATCCTGAAGCCGGGCGCATGGGGGATACATCACTGGTGTATCTGGTACTGGCCCTCAGATTTGTCAGGAATGTCCTCCACTTCCTTTGCCATCTGGTCAAGCACAGAAAGCAAGACCGGGCTCACGTTCAATCCGAAGGTGACCTGCATTGGGGCTGCTAAAAAACATGTGAGTGGGTTTTGCCGAGCCTTTGGGGTTCGTAACCTTCCTAAGCTTTCTCTTTGAGTTCTTTAGAGCGAGGTTCAAACCGTGGTTCTCGTTCCGGTGGTCCGTGGCACAGTAAGCGTCATTTTTTTCTGGCTGAAAAAACCTTGACGGGTAGGCATTGTATGTCTGCTTACAGTGCTTGGGGCTTGCGGCGTGCATGGTTGAGGGTTGATGGGGTTCGGAGTTCAGGGCTGGCTGCCTTCTAGGTTGAATTCAGCGTAGGATCCAAGCTTCACGTGTGGAGACGAGGGTCAGTGAGGTCGCAGGCCTTGAGGCTTCTGGGAAGAGGCCAGCTCAAGGACTGGGGAGGCTCTCTGACCCCAGCCTCGTGGGTTGCGAGCCTTCAGCCCGAATTCTGAACCACGGCTTGTAATGGTTCAGGAGCTGCTGCAGCGGGGCAGGAAGGAAGTGCTGGTGCTTCCGAACCTTACAAGTACTACAAGTCCTTTGCACCGTAACTGTCGAATAACCCCGGGCCACTCATGGTCCGAATCTTCGCAGGCCCAAACCCAGTCTCAAGACCAAAGTCCGAGCTCAGCTTGATTCCTGCACCGGGTGTGACGCTTCCACGTTGGACAGCATTTGGGGACGGTGGGGCCAAACGCTTCATGTCTCAACTACCTAATGCCTGTGCGCCCTTAGGAAGTCCCAGTACAACAAGCTTGTAGCGCATTGCGCCTCAGGCGTGCTCTTGTCCAGCACCTTCACACCTTCGTCCTGGAACGGCTTGATGGCTATAAGCTGCCCGCTTTCAACCCTTGATCCCGTGATGAGGAGGAGCTTGTGCCAACTTAACAACAGCACCGCGCTTTCTGCCAAAAACTCGACTTGAGAACTTTGCCGGAGCCATCTCCTGGCAATCCCAAACCGTAAGTCCGACGGCTCAGACGAAAGCAAAGAGCAGGTTCAAATCCCAGCACCCTTAAGCCCCAAATGTTTGAGCCCTCAAGTCATGCCCTCCGATGCAAAAACACTTGGTAACTCAAAGTCTGAACTCTAACGCACCAATCTCGGAACTCCAAAACCTGTGTTCCTGCAGCTACAGTTCGATGTATATAGCTTCGAAATGATCCTAAATATGATCCCCAGCCCCAAATCCCTGCGGCAATTTCCATGTGGTTTGATGCTGGCCGCTGCGCACCGAAACCAGAGCCTTCGCCAGCACAGGGATCTTCTTGTCTTTCGGAGATTCAAACCTGTCTCAGAAGCTTGGAGCTTCGGAGTTTAGGGTTTAGGGTTTAGGGCTCAAGATTTCAACTTGCGGGGTTTCAGGAGATTCGATGTTGATGCCCCTTTGGGACAGTAGGGGCCTAGCCCTGCCCAGTCGAGTTCCTTTGGGCACTTAAACGGTATGCGCACTGGGAGCTATCAGGATTAAGGTGCATCAGGCCGCGTGGGGATGCTTTTTGTGCAGTCTTTGAGAATGTTTGTGACAGTTAGGGCCAGGGGCCTAACTCTTGTCGTGGGCTCTCGGATGTAGTTACGCTTTCAATGTTTCAGTACCTTCGATCTCGACCAGCCGGGCTGGCGAGTCCTCGTTTTAGAGTGTCAAGTGCCACTGCTTTTTGTTTCGTCTTCTGGGGTTTAAACTTTAAAGGTCTAAGACTGTTCGCTTCCCTTGTTGGCTTTGGGTTCTTCCATCTCATCTTAAGCCTGTGACTGCAATAACCCCGCTTTGCCGGACAGTTCGGTGCGGCTGATGTCCTCTGCCAGCTTGGCATGTTGGGCTCTGACCTTGCGACTTGAAGCCTCTGCTGTTGCACTGCAGTGCTTCAGCTGTATCTTGCTGCATGTACGGCTCCGGGTGTTCTGTGCAGAGGGATTAGACATGCCTAGGCTAAGTTTACCGGGGCTCTGGGTTCAGAGTGAAGAAGAATCCGTCCTCGTGTGTTCGCTGATGTACATGGCACACGACATGGATGCAAAACTGACCAGTGGATACAGAGCCCTCGCTATCAGGTCACTATCAGATTCGCAAACCGACGCTCCCCGAACTGAACGCTGACCTGGGGAAAGAAGCTTCATGTTGCACTGGAGCCGGCTTGCACTAACTAGCCTACAGAAGACCCGGCAAAGTAGGATGTATTGTAGCTTCAGGGAGATGAAACCTCGAGTTAAGCTCCAACATCTAGATGTTATTGACTCATTCAAGCCCACTCCGCACCTCTCAAATCCGGGCACTGCCACGTATCCTCCCGTCTTTGGTGCATCGAAGACTTCGTCCAAAGAGAACCTTGAATGTTCGACCCGGATCTACGAGGTACTAGTACTGTATTCTTGCTGGTACTATTAATGGTGCTATTGCGGCTACCACTGCGGCTGCAACTGTTTCTGCTGCTGCTGCTGCTGC